CACAATTAAGACATCTCGAACACAGTTCCAGCTTTCTTGAAAGAGAAAGTTCAAAGTGGGGCCTCATTTGGAAAAATAAAGGAACAGATTAAATAACTTACTTCGGTAAATATGATGATTTTCAGAAGATTGATTGCAAGAGTTGTCGTCCTTGGTCTAAAAACTTATCACATTTTTAAAAAATGGACAACCATCCCGGAGTTAACGATAGAAGTTATATTAGATCTGTACCAAGACGAGTTACAACTTGAAGCACATTTATTTAAGGAAAATGAACAAGTTTTTATTTTCATTTTTCACTTAAAGTTTCGCAATAATATATGGGATCTGAAGTGAAACAATTGTATAGGTAGTTGCAGAAAGACCGACTTTATTTTGCCCTCGGGGAATCTGATTCTTTCATGGGCGAAGAACCTTCTTGTTTTCCTCAATAGCATGCCATAGACGTATATAGACATTATTAGATATATGGTTTATTGAATGAAATATATGGAGATAACGAACAGTCTTCGAGCTCAAATGTCCATTACTATATACAAAATATAGCAGCGGAGCAAGCATGGACCTCCAAAACATCAGAGGTGGGATCAGGTGCCATGGAGGAGTGCGCATCCCCTACCGACCGGTCCTACCCGCCGTGTGCTCCTTGTCATGATCGGGAAATAAGGGTATATCCGTCGTCAATTCAGTGTGTAAATGATGGACTAACAATAAGTATAAAAAACGTCAGTTAGCATTCGACTAAATGATAAATTGTATTTGCTGACGAGGTCATTATATCGACCATAGAACTTATGAAATGATGACTTCAAAACGAGACTGCTGATATTGATTTCTTGTTTCATCAACTTGCTTGTCAATAATTTACCTCGTGTAAGAAATTGTACGTACGTAGAGCATGCTCTTGCGAATCGAATCAACTGAGAGATATAAACACCGTATGCAGGTGTTGAAGGTTCAGGTATATTGCTGTATAAGTAAGGAAAGTTGACGATTGAAAAGTTCAAGTCATCGTGTTTATCATAGAGCTTGGATGTAAGACTATGACTACCATTAATGTCTTTTTCAAGTAAAATCTCCAAATATGAAACAGACGTATCAGACTCTATGGTATCTTTTATCTCAAGCTCACTAGGATATATCGTGGCGACATAAAGAATGGAAATAATCATTGTTAATTGACAATGCGTCGTTGATATATCTCAATGTCGAGTTGAAGGCCACAGAAGTCATCCTGTCTGATCGGATGTTAAAGGTTTTGAATAAATTTAAGATGTTTCATCGCATTTAAACTAAACACTTTGAGGATTTTTGAAATGTAGGGTCTTTTTGGAATCAATTTTAAGAATATCCCTATAATAGCGAGATACAATACCTTAGAAAGCTGTAGAAGTCGGAGGGAAAATCTGGAGAATTTATATCAATTGTACCAATCATCCACATCTAGAAGATTAACCTTTTTAGTGTAGTTGTTAAACAGGGAGATTGAAAAGTTAACATGCCCTAGAAGGCGAAACAGTTTTAAAGATGTATATCCTTTCATTCCTCCTCGTCTTAAAAGCGTATGGTACATACATTGGGTACCCTCCAAGATATAATTGAACTTTACAGTGTTCAAACTGAGCAGACATACATTGTACAACTGTTTGGCAATTTAACATTAGCAGAAATCACACCATTCAAGAGACTAAGTATCTCAATGATATAATGGATCTTTCTGGTTCGACAACATTGATTTATCTTATATAGACAGATGCTCAGACAGGAAGATATAGTAATTACACAAACTGAGAAAAATGTAAGAATTCGCCATCTTCAAAAAAATCATCAACTACTAAATGATACCCCCGCCTCCCATATGATTATTATGACAAAGTCCCTGTTTTGTTCTTGGAGACACGATATAAGTATCAGATATAAAAGTAAAATAGGTGCACAATGGCATTATGTGATAAAGAATCTTTGAAAGTATCATTAGATTTTATTCAATGGTATAGGAGGAGTTGCGAATAAGAGATAGGTACCCTTCAATATTATAGAAAAAATGGCAGTGTCAATGTTTTGCTATGGAAAACCCAAAATATGTGTCCAATCAAGAATTAAAATAGGTGGTACACAATGACAATATGTTACAAAGATTCTGTGAAATTCTCATCAAATTTCATTCAGTAGTAAAAAAGGAGTTGCGAATAAGAGATAGGTACCCCAATGCCTAACAGACGGACGGACTAACATCCCGATTACTATATACCCTTCCGCTCTTCAAGCGGAGGTGTAATAATCAATTAAAATATTTTAGGTTATGGTCGATCTTTCCACAGGAAACTGCTCTAACAGTTAAGTTAATTATAGTTAACTTTAGTGATAACTTTGACACTATGAAAGCTATAGTTAACTTTAATAAGAACTTTGAAATTTTGCTTTACTGTAGTCACTGTGATAACTTTGACACTTTGATTTACTATGGCGATAAGGTAACTATGGAGATTTTTGATTTACTATAATGATAGTGTTGTCACTATGGAAACTTTGATTTACTATCGTGATCACTATTATTTGAAATAGAAGACAGTTAAAGAACTCTATCTGTTTTTGCAAATTGAGATAATCTGCAAAACTGGATGATACCAATTTTGTAAAATTAAAAAAAAATTCTACATGTATCCCAAAACGTCGAATACTGTGTAATAAATTTTAAACTCTTAATCTGTAGAAATTTCATGTCTAAAACCTTTATAAACTTATTAACCACAGCTGACTTTAAATTTTGAATTACCATAATATAAACGTTGTCCCTTAAATTACCATAGTGATCACTATGAACACTTTTATTATCTTCTAGTATAGTGATAACTATGACACTATTGTAATAACTTTGAAAACTTTTATTTACTAACGTGATAACGTTGAAACTTTGAGCAATTTCAGTTTAGAGGGGAGAAGGGGAGCAACAGCCAAACATTTTCAGTTGGAGGACATTATCATCAGACGTATTTATTGAGGGGCACAAACATATCGTAGCTAAGTTTTCTATAGTATTCTGTATGTTGGTAAAAGTACTTGGGACACGCCCCTCCCCTGTTCCTTAAGGCTATTAGATGTCTGATCTCAAACAGCCATATTAAAGATAACGGTTTAAATGATCAAACGTTTACGAACAACGTACAACAGAAAAAATTAAGTCAAAAAGATCACCTGAGTAATCAATGACCTAAAAATAAAAAGGTGCTTTAACGGTAAATCCCCATTTTGTACACATATATAAAAAAAAGGCATGACATAAAAGGTGGTATTTTAAATAACAATTCTAAAATCCTTCTTTTTTTGTTATTTATGAATATTAATATAGGTCAAATAAATTCAACCAAATTATGATCATTAGCAATCACTGCTTTTCTAATTTGCCCGTAACTAATTCTTTAAATGTAATCAATAATATATATTAAGATAAAAGCCCTATTTTATGCAAAAATTATATATGATTCGAATTTTAAAGTGTGCCTTAGAGTTACTGAGTATATCTAATTCAAAAGTCGATGTAAGTTTTATCAACATGCTTTTTGGTTCACATTCCACTACATACCTTAAGCCATTAAATCGATTTTCTCTCATACTTTGTTTACACGTTTACATTTGTGATGCATTTTGTATTTGCAGTTATTCTACATGTCAATGTGATATCTTTTTATATAATTATAATGAATAGAGCTAAGTTGAAATGTCACCTCTATACTTCTGTTATACGGAATTAAAAGTTCAGGAAGAAGCGATTTCTCAAATTGAGGCTAGTTAAAAATTTCATTTTTTTCCCCCTTAGAAATGCTGAAACATTTCATCTGTAGAAAAGATTAATCTTAATCGATCGGCAAAAATTATTTAGAGGTCTAAAAACTATGATTCGAAACTAAAGAACTTCCAAAATGTAAGAATAAAAAAGTGTGTTTTTATACTTTGAATTATTATATTCTATGGTGACTGGTACCTTGACGAAAAATGGTATAATGCAAAATGTTACAAATGAATGCAAAAAAAGTGTGCAATATAAAAAAGTCAAAGTCATCATGATTAGCTTAGAGTTTGGTTTTGGACACAGTAGTCGAGATAAAGTTGGGAAAATCTGAGAATTATTCACTGATGCCTTAAAATGGCGTCTTTTAATGTTGTCGCTGTGTGTTCCTGTTCAAAATAACAAATTATTTTCAAGATTAATAATTTTTGTTCGTAAGTAAACATTAATGCATTTTTCTTGAAATTTACCTACAATACTTTTAAAGTATGAATTACATATTAAAACTTAATCAGTTTTCCTTACAAAAACAAAGAACGTGATACAGAGGCTGTCAATGAACTTTACGAACAACCCTCGTAAAATTCTCTTCCTTAACAAATTGAGTATTTGAAAGTCCTATTTAAGATAAATATCAAACTCTTATGAAGTGTTCAAAAATAATATGGAAGAGGAAGTTACCATGCAGCAGTTGAGATATTTCTCGCACTGTATCACGGACGAGACACTTTCATTCAACATACAGATAATAAATTTATGGACGATGAGTTTATAACTGAAGGCCTCTTACATACCTATTTTTGTAAATGACGTAATAAATCTTATCAAGAATAAAACAAGTAAGAGTAATAATGCAATAAACCTTGGGAGTTTACAATGTTGAGTATACTTTATGGCTCTACAGCGTGAGAAAAATAAATGCAGATATTTTTATCAATCAGTCATTCTCGTGCATGTGTCTTTCACTGGATTAATTAAAAAAAATATTCCTTCTTGTAACGTCAAAGAAATATCGAAACTAGATAGAGGAAAGAAAGAATTATAAAAATTGCGAGACCAAGATGTAACAAAGTTATAAAACAAATATGCTCTCAAATATGCTTTTGAACAAGTGAAAAGGGTCACATAAATCGATTTTGGTTATCTACAGCTGGGGCATTTAAAATATATATTCGACAACAAATCGTGCCTGATCATAGACGACGCTGATGAACATGTGGAGAATCAACTTTTTCTGGTTTGTGGTTTTCCTGTTGGTTTGTAAAATATCTGGAACCGCGCTGCCCTTTCCACAGACAACAAGTTATTTCTCTTGGCAGCAACCAAAGCACAACAGAACGGAACTGATGTGCCCTAGTTATTGTGAAACTAATTATCTAACGGAAAGTGAACAAATGACCTGTTGTAACTGTCGGTCCAAACCGATCTGGCAATGTTATCCGGAATGGCCACATCGTGGTGTTGATATAGAGTACCATAGCAGGAGAGGCATAGGACGTGCAGTGTATACGGACAGCAACTCCCATCTTAATATTTCAAAATTATTTCATACCCAGGAGTTCCTGTCAAGTATTCCCGAGAATATTTGTGAATTTAGTGACTTGGTGGAGATTGATCTTAGCTGGAACAGGATATCTGTCTTGGAAAACATCAAATGTCTAAAGAGATTGGATACACTCATTTTGAAAAACAACTTGATAACCTTTCTTAGAAACAATACACTCCATGGAATGACTGAACTCAGGTTTTTCGACCTCTCTAATAATCTGCTGACTACTATTGAACCCTATGCTATATCGGATTCATCAATTGGAATACTTCACATTAGCTTCAAAAACAATTCTCTTCAAAATATCGACGCCACAAATATCATACTCGAACATTCTTTCTGTTTGGTGGATTTTTCTGAAAACGACTTAAAAGAGGTCGTCAATGAAGCTGGATGGACAGCAAATATTTCAAAAGACTATGGACATGGTGGATTTGTTGACTTTTCACATAATTACAACCTCTCATTTCCTAATTTTGAAGACTTAGGAATAGAAGATCTTACATATCTTGGAAAGGTGGGTTCTTTTGGGTTCGACTTCAGGAATACGAACATTTCTTGCGATTGCAAGATACAGCCTTTTCTAGAGAAGGCCTTAGAAGTCATTAGGAAAATCTGGCGGGATTACTTTAATCTCGATTGTTCTCGGCCCTCACATCTTCAAGGCCAGTCTATGTTTGACCTAGTAAAAAATAACCAGATGGATAAATTCATATGTCCTATAAATAGACGGGAGAAATGCCCTAAAAGATGCACCTGCTTCCATCAACCATCACGTGATCGCGTGGTCGTAAATTGCTCGAACACACATCAGATAGCCCTCCCAGATGATCTTCCTATGGTTAGAAGTGGTCATAAGTTGTTCTTAGATTTCAGCAACAATAATATCACAGCATTCAACACGACTAAGTATCTCAATGATACCAAATATCTCAACCTCGACAACAACGATCTATCTACAATTTTTGAAAAATCTTTCACAGATGCTACTGAAATAGATGATATTTTGCTAAGAAACAATGATAGGCTTCTCCATCTCCCCAAAACTCTACAATTGCTGAATCCTTGTAATATATCTTTTGGAGATCTTAATTTGAAATGCAGTTGTGATATACATTGGATTGCTAAATGGGTCAATAACTCTAAATCGAAATCTTGCCCAGGTATCAGTAATATCTCTTGTCAAAGAGAAGATGGTCAAATACTACCATCGCATTTGTGGACGAAGGAGAATTTGCAATGCCCAGATGACTCGTGGTCAGCTGTGGTGGTAGCCATTGTTTTTGGAATTTCTTCGTTTATAATAGGGATAACAGCTTTGTTACTGTATCACTATCAGTACGAAATTTATCTCTTAAGTCGAAGGGACAGCAAAGACCATTTTTCTGAAAATGAATACTTTAAATTTGACATCTACATTTCTTTCAACGAAAATAATGACGAATTGCTTTCGTGGGTTTGTAACCAGTTGGAGCCTGCACTAAATGAATCAGGCTATTCATTGTGTATACCTAATAGGGATTTTACACCAGGTAGTGTTAAATCAGACGCCATTTTGGAACATTTACACTGTAGTAAAAAGTTTTTGTTTCTGATGGATGAGAATTTCTTTAATTCAGATGATGCGTCTATATGGTGCTTTCATGAATGGCGACATTCTTGGAATATCTTTTACTTGAAGAAAAATAGAAATATAGCTGTCGTAAACTATGATCAGCTTCGCGTAAGAGACATTGAGCAGAGACAAATTAGAGCTTTTTTTCGACTAGGTCTAGCGATAGATTTTTCGAACAGGAAACTGATGATATTCGACGAAATTTACGAAAGATTGAATCTCAAGAAAACCTCCTTTGAAGCAAATAGAAACATATATCATACCAAAGTGATCGGGTTGGACCCACTAAGAGATAGTATTTTGGACTGTCGAAGATGTGATACTCCAAAACAGAAATTTAACAGGAATGTCGTACATAAAGGATCGGTACAGTTTCATGGGATATCCTCTGACACTGTTGATTTAACGAGAAGCAATTCTTCTTACCAGTTGAATAAAACAATTGATGATAGAGATATTCTGATGAACCTAGAAGTGGTAAAGCTTTGCTCAGAACCAAACCATTTTACTGCCTCACAGTTCTTTGATACTCAGGAGAAGAAAAACAGACCAGCTCACGTGACTGATAATTCGAGGCGTGCTTCTCTGGAAGATAAGTATAAACCATGTCAACTTCTGAAAGGCGTTAAAATACATCCATACGAGCCACCGCGACCGCGTTACAAGATACCAGTACCAATATTCAAAGCAGCAGAGCAATAGGTTCTGTCATACTCACTTAAACCAACAGTATATATGCATTATTTATTTTTTCACATTAAGATTTTTTACACTAATATCAGGAATATCCTAACCAATTCTTATGTAGTATATGTTTTACTTTTAATTCTGCTTATTCGATCCACAACGTAACTGGATTTTAATGAGGGTGAGCAAATGATTTTATTAAAACTATTTACGTAGATACTAAGGCTTACATTGTACATTGATATAGTAAAATTTGCTTACACGTCAAACTTATGTCGACATTTATACTTTGATATTCAAAATGTTGAGACAAAATACGGCGGGTGTGACTGGTCGGCAGGGGATGCTCACTCTTCCATGACACCTGATCCCACATTTGATGTTTTAGAGCTTCGGTCCGCTTATCTTCTGCTCCTGATTTGTTCTGTTTAATGGACGTTTGAGATTGAATATTGTTTATTATCTCCAAATACTGTATGTGTACATAATTTGGCGTATTCAAAATTTAGCGTAATCAATGGGTATGGAGTTGTTGGCGTAATCATAAATTAGCGCTACACATGTCCGTTCAGTGTATTGTATATGTAAATGATTTCTTAGCGGTATTCATGAATTAGCATATTTTTGTCTGCGCCAAAGCCGCTAAAGTATGACGCCACACATTAAGAACACATACAGTATTTCATACTGAAGTTTTATTGTAAATTGATACATTGTTGTACAGACTTAAATCGATGTGGTTGTATACAGTGTATAAACTTAAAACTTGTTAATGGTATACATTAATTTCCAAAACGAGAATACATATATAGGATAAAAAATAAAGAATATTTATTTTTTACTTGTTCAATTTTTTTTCCAATTTGATTTTGATACTCTAAGATAAAACAAAGAATTGAAAGAAATAAAAATAGCCATGAGAAATAGAGTGTAAGCAAGATCTCATCACTGACATATGGAGCATAGTGATTGGGAAGAGAGACGAATTACTTTTCAAAATCCGTAGTGACACCGCATGGGAAGTAAATCTCCTTGGAATAATTTAAATGCGGTTTTATTGTCCTTGAGAAAACCGTCCATGAATGAGATCAATCATTTAGACAAGGTACACTTTATAGGGATTTTCAACAACCTTGTTTTCGTAAATTCCATGGTCGTTATAATGGCCTGTTAGCAAATTTATATAACATGTCATTGGGTTGTATTTTGAATGGATTGGCTTGTTTCTGCAAATATATCAATTTTTTGGCCTTTTTTAAACTGAATTTGACTACGGATAGTTCTGTCGACCTGATCAGTAAATGGGATCCTTAAAGCTTAATCCGTCTTAGGCATTTGAAACCACGTAGACTGGGGATTTCTAGGGGGCTGTGTTTCTAGCTGTCTTCACAGATTTGTATTTTTTGCAGATTTTTTTTAGACCGATCACTGTTTGTTATCTTCGCCTGTACATTTCTGCCTCTCTCTGAAAACTTAATTGTACAGAAAAACTCGTATAGCACGAACAAAGGTAATTCTTTTTTGCAATTCCAGACATTTTTTAAAAAGAATTAATCACAGGCACTTGTTTCGGTGATTAAATTTTTAAGCCATAGTGTAATAATGTTATTATCATAGTATGGGTTAAAAATTTATAACCGAAATAGTGCTTGTGGAATTAATAATAATTCATCGGACAGTCTTACCAAAAAGATGTGTTTTTTCATGTTTATATAGCCTCTTCATGAATGCATGGGTAACAAAAAAGAAGGTACGTTAGTCACCAAAATCCGCCTAGTCCCAAAATCTGGCGATAATATTTAAATGATGTGTCTTGGATACCCCTGTTCTAAATCAATTTATTTTTTGAAAATATCTCAAACCGTTTTCCCTACACAACTCACTAAAAATGCGATGTTTTCTTAAGAAAATAACACTGACGACGCCATGACGTCGTAACGTTCACATGGCGTTATCAAATTTAACGTAATGATTCCTGTACAGCGTAAAGAATTGTACATTTCTCAACCTAAAAAATATATTCCTTAAATAAATTCATATTTAAGTTTATTTTTTTACTTATCTTTTTTTTTATTTAATCTGTTCTAAATAAACCTTTCATTTTTTTTTCTTTATATGAATTGATATTTACAATAACCGTGGGTCAATTAAGGAGATAATTTTCCGAGAAAAACTATTTCATCAAGAAAGCGTATTTATTGTCAGAATTTTTTACCCTCTCCATTTCCCTAAAATTCATGATATTAATTGAAATACTACATTAACTTTGAAATACCAGTATACTATACAATCATGCTTATCTTTTATTTACTTATTTAGGTATACACATGTACGGGAATATACATACATAATGTTATGTATGTACACTTGAAAGTGCAAGGTGTACTATTTTACTGCGTATAAAATCTTGACTGCAACATAAAAATCAGTTTTTATATGACAGCATTTTCCTTGATATTTTTTTCCTATTAAAGATTTATTTTTGATTTAGCTAAGACATTATCTATGCATTACTTTGTTTCGGTTTTAATACTACAGTATAGTATTTTTCAGGCACGTAGCATCTTTTTCGAAAGTGGGGGGGGGGGGGGCAACCTGTGAAATTTTTTTTACTTACCTGAAAAAGTTGACGAGAAAAAAAAAACAAAAAACAAAAAGCAAAAAAAAAAAAAAAACCCGAGAAATTAAAAGTTGCTCAAAGTCGAAAATCCTATTTCGTGGGTTGGGGGTGGGGGGTTGTGGCTAACTTTTTTCAAGACCAACTACCTTTTAATTCAAAGTTTTTGGGGTAAATTTTCTTTTTTTTTTTTTTTTTTTTTTTTAATTCAAGAAGTGACATGTAAAGTTACATAAGTTTTTTAGTCACATTCTCACACACATTCACACTTCCCCTCTGAATTTAAACAAGAATGAAATATAAAATATATAAAAATTCGAGAAATATTTAAAGTTGGTGTTTAAATAAGTGTTTATAACTCAAAAATATTTATCCATTCTGACCATAGATTATCAAAATTGTTCATTGTAAAATTTTTAATTGATATACATTAAATTTAATGTAAAATTTTCTTTATAACACTGTACTGTGCTGAAGTGTGGAGGGTCCAACCTTACTTTGAGTGAACATTTTCTATAGTAAAGGTAATGTCGGGAGAAAAAGTGATACCACGTCCCTGCTTTTTAATAGTATATACTCATTATTGATATGAAGCTGAATAAGGTTACATATTTTTTAAAAACAAAGAACAGACAAATATATTTATCTTACGTGTATGAAAGAGAAAATATTCCCAACGACGACAGCTATGTCATCCCCTGTCCTTTTGACAATCACATATAATCTGTATTTAGTATTTGTGGTAGTCGGGTCTGTTATTATGCTTCTAAAATAATGTACATTGCATATGTATTTATAATTATGACTTGAAGCGGTCACCCATCCAAAGGTTACACAGGCTCGCCGTTGCTGAAAACCTACATGTAGCAAGGCATATACAGTGTAACCCCCCCCCCCCCCCCGGCTTAGGGAAGCTTCGAACCTAAGCTTAGCATGAGTTCTCCCTAAGTGTCTGGACCTCTTCAGTACCGGCAAATAATGTCGTCCACGAATACAAAGTCTGTATCTGGACACAAAGTCCTAACCTTAGAGCTCCTTGATGCTAGCTCTAAGACTTCCTGAAGCAAAGTCGCAAAACAACACGCTTCCATCAATTTTGTCATGTTTTTAAATGAAGCCTGTTATGCTTAAATTATCCCATGTTTCCCACTATTGTTGATGTCCCTGACATACCCTCCTAACTAGACAGTGATTCCTTATATTTCCATTTCATTGTGAAATAAAATTGTAGATTTAGACTTTAAAAATGCAGACATGGATTTAAATTACACGATGATTCCCATCCCAATTTCAAAAGCCCTCGCCCACTGACATCAAACACAAAGGCAGCCACACAAGATTTTCATGCATATTTGGCATCCTTAGCGTCAGGCTCCGAGACAGATGTGCACAAGATTTGCATTCATATAAGGCCTCCTTAGCTCCTGACATATTGACCTACCATTTAAATTCCGGTAGAATTATCAAGAAATTAACTCCGCTAGCTCTCAAAGAGTTATCACAAAGAGAAAAGTTAGAAATGGAAATATTTACTTTTAAACCACTGTATGACTGAATGAGTTTTTTCGAAGATGTTTACAGAAAATTTCATTAAATTCCCAGTAAATTTGACAAGCATTAAAAAATCAAATCTACGTTCAGTGTTTTTGACGGGTGTAGATACCCCCAGTCAATGTCAGAATATACTTCATTACTTGTCCAAATGTTCTTGTAAATATTTATAGAAGACACCACCCTTCACGCGACAAACAAAATAAAAAGGAGCTAGTGAAGGTTTGATTTTAATCGGACTGCCTTTTATGCATTTACTTATAATGTCGTCAATTGAAATTCAATTGCATTTGCTTATTTACCGCTGTCTGTTTTCAAGTCGACGAAAGAAAATTCGGAATCCGATTATATTTCACACAACTTTTTGAACAATGACACTAAAATACAATTGCTGGAGTAAAATAAGGAAAGCAAGTCGTAATAAGACAAAATGCAAGTGCAAGCCAGAAAATGAATACTTATTCATCTGTTTATTCTCACGCACTTATATATATTATCTATTTATAACTCATTTATATAACCCCTTACAACTTTGTCGCAATTTATGGAGGAACTGACAATGCGGAGTCAGTTCAAGTATTGTTTTTAGAAAGAAAAACAAGGTACATACATACAAATTGTCACGGGAAGGGACGGGAGAGGGGGGGTTTAGATTTTTTTTTTTTGTGCAAGAACATGCTTATGAATCAGTCAAAAAACTAGGTTTCTGAATGTTACGTGTGGAATTATTTGAAATTATTACACAGGTAAATTGTATAATAATTCTCTCAAACGAAGGGGCGTGCCCACCCCACCCCACCCCCAATTTTATAATTAAATTACATTCTATACCTATAAACATTGTAATGAACTTGTAACATGTATTATGCAATATGCACCACTAAATATACATAAAGGCAGTGGATTTTATTCATTTTACATAATACACTGAAAACAATAAAGC